AATCAATTTAAAGGTAATAAAATAATTGCTGGTGTAATATTTTCCCTATAACTATTACGAAAACACAAAAAAGTATAAATAAGTATTTATATTTGTGTACAAGCTCTTTAGATCATCAAAAAGGCTGTGTTTTTAGGGTTATTAACCAAGTTCATGTACTCAGACCAGTAATATTCGGGGTCACAAGTTTTTGCCATGAATATTTTGTGGGTCAGAAGACAAAAAGTTTGGGAACCACTGATCTACAGAACTGTCCTCTGTTTGTTACAGTGGTGATTTAGTATCAACAGTGTGTTTTGAATTGAAGTGATATTTCAGGCTCAAACGTCTCTGGTAAAAGCCCCGTCACACTACACAACTTATGCCAACTTATGAACATTTTAAAGACACCTATGTTGAAGATGGAATTTAAAAAATCAACAGGAAGCTTCTTTTTAGCATTTACATAAAGTAATTTGAACAAACTGATCAAAAAATGACATAAGATAAATCTTTATTGTCATTGATGCATCGAAAAGAACACTGGTCCACAGACAGTGAACAACAAAATTATTTTGCAGCTCCCGTAGTGCAAATAAATCGGCACATTAAAAAGAAAAAAATAAAGAGGTAAAAATAGAATGAAAAGGTAAGAAGTCATTTTTTGGTAAGATACTTGTACTTTTACTCAAGTATCACTTTGTGGTACTATATACAACACTGGGTTCTAATATAACTATATATAACTTTTATAAATGAATAACTTATTAGCAATTTAGACGTAAAAAAAGTTTCATAAGTTTGCATCAGTTGTAGGGCTTTTAGACAGTTTAGAGTTGCAGTGCTTAAAGATAACTTTACTTTTATCCAGCTGCTGCTGGGCAGAGTTTTTACGTAAAAATGCTCGTGAAAAAGTCCAGTTCATTCCTCCATGTTTCTGTTCTTTTGCAGCTCATTTTCTGATAGGTTCATGTGATCGTTGCCAAGTAACAACCCAACAACCAAGGTTCTCATTGGTTGACATGTTGGCCATCAAAAACAGGTGTATCAAACTTACAAACTCGTTTTCTCTGAGGACCACCATAATGCTCATGTGGCCCTCAGTGAATGTGAGGGTCAGTTGTAATTAACTTTGACGTTTCGTATTGAACTTTGACTAAACACAAAACGTCACATTCCTCAACTCGTTGCTACGACCGAGCACCTCTAACAAACAATAACTGAGCTCTACCAGGTATTAGGGGTGTAAGAAAATATCGATACACTGAAATATYGCGATATTTCATTTCCCGATACTGTATCGATATTCTGAAGCCCTGTATCGATTTTTTATTAAGGTTTAAAATGTCAACTTTCCTGCCAGCCATTCATTTTAATGTTGTAGTTCAGCCTCTGACCACTAGTTGGCAGAAATGAGCCAGCCATTTGGCTACTCTACCTGTTGAGGTAGAAGTTATTGTTAAGTGTTGGGTGACCATATTGTAAATTAATATTAAAAACTAGAAGCTGCAAAAAATATATTTTCAAACTATTTATTGGCAAATTTAGTCTAATAATTGAAAACATGGATGAAATAAGAAATATGAAACAAATAAAATAAAACACACACAAAGCAGAACACAGCTAAATGTATCAAAAGCATGTCTATGTAATATTAGAATTTTCCGAGACAATGAATTTTGGTTTTTCATTTTTCCCCCCAGTAAGAGGTTTTTATTTAATATAATTTTTGGACAAAAGAAATCGCAATATATCGCAATATACTGTATCGCCTTGCTTACAGTATCGCAATATATCGGGATATATCAGGATATATCGTATCGTGACCCCTCTGTCATGATACGTATCGTATCGCCAAATTCTTGCCAATACACAGCCCTACCAGGTATTTCCTGCATATAAACAGTGTTTTAACATGTCTTCTTATAAACACTGAAAAGTACTACATGACTGACTAAATGTGAAATAAATAAAACAGAAATACTATTAAAAGTAAAAGAGAGTTTACTCACTGTTGAGTTGTGGTGAGTAGCTGCCATCTTGAATTCTGAACTCTCCCACTTTCAGACAGGGAACTCCCACTAGAGGGGCATTCCAGTTTAATTTAACAACTTGTAAGATTTTACATGTGGATTTTTGCCAGTTGGTGGCTACTTTTGAACTCTGTGCCTCAGTCATTTTGCAGGTATAATAACTGGCATGCATTATGGGACTTAAAAAGAAAAAAACAACTGAGTTAACGCACGTTTAAAATAATTGTTTTTTAAAATTTATTTTACCTTTTTTGAAATGTTTCAAATGATCCCATTAACTAACCTCCAGTGTTCTCAGAACGGCTAAGAGTATGGGATTAGGGCTGCAACGATTAATCGATTAATCGACGGCTAATCGATTATTAAAATAATCGATGACTAATTTAATAATCAATTAATCGTTTTTTTTTGTTGTTGTTCTTTGCTTTGTTTTTCTCTCCAAACTGCTTTGACACCTTCCACTGCCACATCTACCTTTCTGTCCTTGAGACGCATGCACAGTAGTGGTAACTGGGGTAGGCCGTGGACGTCACAAGACATTATACAGACAGGCTCTGGTATCATGGCTACCYRRCAACRGRGCTCAAAGTGTGGGATCATTTTAAGAAAATGAAAGAGAAACCTGTGYAATATCTGCAGAGCAGAACTTGCCTTCCACAGCAATTATTTTTAGTTAGCATACAGCTAAAATCTAACCATGGTTATATAATAGCAGCTGCATTCTGGCACGATAAGCTCTATGTTTTATATTCAATTATTGTAAGATCCGATTAGTCGCCTAATCGAAAAAATAATCGGTGCTTAATCGATTATAAAAATAGTCCTTTGTGGCAGCCCTATATGGGATCCGAAAATGCTTTTATAATGGATTTCAATATGGTCAAATTTTCCTCTAAGGAACACTAGAGGGTAGTAACTTTACTGTAGTTGAATAAATTCTAACAAAAAAAATTAATGAACTTTAGGCTTTGTCAGACAAAAAAAATCTTGTTTATTGATTGCAACATACAAAAATAAATGTGTGGCTGATTGTGTTTTTCCCCCCCATATGATCATCCAAGAGTTAATGCAAACACTGTTTTTTTTTCATGCTGGAAGTGCTTGCTGCTACTATTTGCCCTCACAAAAAAAAAAAAAAAAAAAAAAAAAAAAATCTATGGAAATATCTGTGCAAATGTTTATAAACATTAACCATTTGTAAGAACTGCAATGAATTACAGTTTGCATCAAGCTTCATAGTTTCTTCCAGAACTCAGTAAATACTAAATCCCAAAAGTTTACAGCGTCTGCACAGCTGGAACAGTGAGAAGATGTTCTTTCCCTGGCACCATCGCTCTGCGCAGACATCTCCAACTGGAACTATTTGGATGAATACTCCATGCCCTTTTACAGTCAGCCATCATTGAAGAGTTGAGCGTAAACAACTTTGTAATGGCTTCTCTAAACCCTTCCTGTCATTTCAGAGCTGGGATGGAAGAATCAATGAAGACATTCTGTATGAAGTCTTAATTGCTTTTTAAAAGCAGGACCTCTGAAAGCCCCCATGCTTTTAGAAAGCAGCAGAACTTATTCACACCAGTACTACTGAGCTACACTCGGGCACTGCAGTCATAAATCTGTGGTGTGGATGAACGAAACACTTCACACTGTCTGACTTGACATCCACCGGTTAAATCAGAGTCAGGGAGAAACAGGATACTTCCAGCTGCAGCACTTTGTAGAAGGTGACCGCACACCACTTTCTCATTTCTTTTTAACTCTCTGTTAAAGTCACTGGGGACCATCTTTAGGGAGA